CAGCACCGCTCCCCTCCTGGCCAGTCCTTCTCTCCTCCCTCCCCCCATGAAGCGTGTCCGTTTTTTTTGTTTTGTTTTTTAAATGACTTCCTGGTAACCCCTAGCAGTGATGCTATCCCTGTGATTACCACTGAGATTTAAACTGAGAAGCAACTTGCCTCCCCCCAACCCCAAGAGCTCTTTTGTAAAAAGAGGGAGTTCTTTCGGAAGAAGAGAAGAGGAAAAAGCACAGGTGCCCTGGTGGCCATTCCGTCCATAGCAATCACAGCTTATATGCAAGATCGGCCATTCAGTCTCTTTTGAAAAAGCAGATCGCTTTCTCAATTCGCTTTTGCAGTGTGGACACTCTCTTGCAGAAGATGTTTTTCCAAAAGATCTCTTCAGAAAAAAACTTCTTCCAAAAGAAGCCTGCAGTCTAGACGTAGTCTTAGACAGTTCTTAATGGACATAACACTTCCCTTTTCTCTCCCTGCCCCCCATTAGAACCTCCCACCCACCCCCATAGGCAAGTGTTCAGAATGGTATTCATGTTATCTCCTTTGAATTCAGATCAGCGGTGAAAGTAACTTAAAATTTCTTACAGGTACTGTTCTATTGCAACCCGGGTCCCTGCCAGTTCTTTAAATAGCTCCCTGCTGGCTTTTGCCATAGCTCACCCAGCTCTTGCCGGAGCTGCGCACCAGGGCGCACCCGCTTACCTTCACCTCTGATTCAGATTAATTTGTTTATTTGTGTATTATTATAGCACAGCTCTTCAGGCCACATTCTGTTCTCAGTGCGCCTGAAAACAGGAATCTCCAGTGAAATTAACAGGAGCCTATAAGAACAGAATGTGGCCCTTAAAACTGAAACCCTCAAACTTGGAAGCTGAAGACATCTGGGGGCAAATTTGGCTTCATTTTAAGATTGGAATGTGTAACAACTTACAAGTGTGTGAAATACTGTTACTTTTCTAGCCCTGTTCTGTGAAGCATTCCAAATATTAGTTACTCTGCCACTCTGTGTTTGCTGAAGATTGTGTTGCAACACAGCAACACATATCTCTGGAAGGTAAACTCTTTTGAGGAGGGAGGGACCTATTATTTGTTTGGCCAAAATTTATCTAGCACCACTTGTGACAGATATGTCAATGTCCTGCAATAAAGACCTTATTGTATTAAGTTCATGTAACCACTCTAGGGGCAGATGTGACAAATCTAAGAACTGGGAGTTCAAACAAGCCAGTCAGACAAGTATAGATTTTTGGGACAATAAGCATTAACTGCAGTGCCTGGGGAGGTGCGGCTAATGTACATTATCTGGGTTATCAGGCCCACCGACAGCAATTCCAGGCCCTGGAGCAGAAATCAGTGGGCCCCCTGATCCAAGGTCTTGGCTGAGCCCACAAGCCTTCCCCCCACTCCCACAATAAGCCCCACCAGAAAAGCCCTGAGCTAGGGATGTGAAGGTTTCACCATTTAACCCGGTTAACTGGTAGGGACTGGAGCAGTTCCCTGTTTGCCTTGGGCAGGGGGCTGCTCCAGCCCCAAGGGGGACCCCGCAGATAGGGGATGCTCCAGCATCCCTGCCAATGCAGCCTCTGTCAACCTCCTGTAGACAACTGGGACACCGGAGCAGCCCTTGCCTCAAGGGCACCCTGGCCCATCACAGACAGGGGCTGCTCAAATTGGGCTGGAGCAGCCCCCCGTTTGTGTCCCCTTTGATCAATTAATTGGTTAGACAATATATTTAACCAGTTGGCCAATTAAACAGAATTTTACATACCAACCTTGAGCAGGCCCAGACCCATCTCCTACTTGCTTGGAGGAACCCCAGGGAAGCCACACCGTGCCTCTGCTCTCTTCCCAAGACCCAGCCTACCTGCTGGGGAAATGCTGCAGCAGCATCTCGTGATTAAAAAAAAACGCTTTTGATATGTCCTATGCAGGTTCCGGGGCCCACTACCCACACCCCAGAACCTGCATGGGGCATATCAAAAGTATCTTTGAATCAAGAGAGAACATAAGAATGGCCATACCAGCTCAGACCAAAGGTCCACCCAACCCAGTATCCTGTCTGTCGACAGTGGCCAATGCCAGGTGCCCCAGAGGGAGTGAACCGAACAGGTAATGATCAAGCCATCTCTCTCCTGCCATCCAGCTCCAGCCTCTGACAAACAGAGACTAGGGACACCATTCCTTACCCATCCTAGCTAATAGCCATTAATGGACTTAAATTAATGGAGGTTATCTAGTTCTTTTTTAAACCCTGTTATAGTCCTAGCCTTCACAACCTCCTCAGGCAAGGAGTTCCACAGATTGACTATGTGCTGTGTGAAGAATAACTTCCCTTTATTTGTTTTAAACCTGCTGCCCATTAATTTCATTTCTTATATTATGGGAACAAGTAAATAACTTTTCCTTATTCACTTTCTCCTCATCATTTTATATGCCTCTATCATATTTCCCCTAGTCTCCTCTTTTCCAAGCTGAAAAGTCCTAGTCTCTTTAATCTC